GGCCCAGGGCGTGATTCTGGAGTCCCGGGATCGAGTCCCACATCGGATTCCCTGCATGGAGTCTGCTTCTCCCTTTGCCTGTGTCTCTGTCTCTCTCCCTGCGTCTCTCATGAATAAATAAATAAAATCTTAAAAAAAAATTGCTGACCAAATGAATAGTGAAAAGGAGAAGATACAATAGCATGGGGGAAAAAGGTATGGCTTGAGTAGCATATCATGTAGAAGAGTCATTGACTAAATCACAGAAGCCACACTCTGGACCTGTATTACAGGATTAGGTATTCAGACCTTATCCTGGGGTGAATGAGTCACCAAAGGCACTCAATGTCATAATTCTAGAAGCAATGTGGATCTAAATGGGAGGCCGTCATGGAATGAATTCTACCCCTCACAAAAGATGCAAAGAAGTCCTAATGTCTCATACTTCAGAATGTGCCTTATTTAGAAACAGTCTTTGCAGATGATGAAGCTAAAATGAGGTCATTATGGTGGGCCCTGATCCAATATGAGTGGTGTCCTCATAAAAAGAGGGAAATGTGTGGGCAGCCTGGGTGGCTCAGTGGTTTAGTGCCACTTTCAGCCCAGAGCATAATCCTGGAGACTCGGGATTGAATCCCACGTCGGGTTCCCAGCATGGAGCCTGCTTCTCCTTCTGCTTGTATCTCTGCCTCTCTCTCTCTGTGTGTCTCTCATGAATAAATAAATAAAATCCTTAAAGGGGGGTGGTCTGTGGACACAGACATGTACAGTGGGAAAATTTTGTGAAGAGACACAGGAAAAAAGCCACGTCACAATGGAGGACTGGGATGATATACCTGCATGCCACAGAATGCTAAAGACTGCCCAGCAAACCACCATGAGCTAGGCAAGGGCCTGGAACAGATTCTACCTCACAGCCCAAAGAAGGAATCAACCCTGGAACACCTTGGACTTCTAGCCTCTGAGGCAATAAATTTCTGTTACTTTAAGCCATTCTGTTAGTGGCACTTTGTTACAACAGCCCTGGGAAACTAACATGGAGGTCACTGAGCAGTACAGTCTGAAGTGATAAGAGATTGAACAAATGACAGTGGGAAGTTCAGAAAAGTTCATAAATCTGAAAGATACTGCTGAGGTCAAAGTGCTGGGATTTGATGATTGGCTGAATATGCGAAAGGAGAGAGAGAGAGAGAGGAGCCCAAGATGGGTGCAGCTGTTATTCTAGCTTAATCAACTAAGCATAGTGTCTAAAACTACCTTAGACCTATGGAGTCTTATGTGAGATCTCTCCTGAGGCCAGGGACCTTATAGATAGCCCCATGCCTCTTCCTCTGGCTAATAGTATCTAACTATGCTTCTGAGCTCTCATTCAAATCTTTCTTTGGGCTGGTTTCCCAGTTGACTTGTAGCTATGGTCTGCTCTATCTACCTAGTCCCTGTAAGAGGCTTCACTTGACCTGCCTACTTTCCTTTCCATTTTTGTTTTGTCCAGGATGCTACATATTAGATTATCCCTAGCTCTGCCTTTAGACCAATTCCATCCCTCCCATATACACAGCACAAACCACTAGCCTCCAGATTCAGTACCACCATCTCCCACTTATTTAGGGAGCTAGAATAGATACTAAAGACATTAACCCACCTGTAAAATATAGGAAAGGAAAACATAGCAAGAAATATGATTTCAAGGGCGCCTGCGTGGCTCAGTCAGTTAAGTGTCTGCCCTCAGCTCAGGTCATGATCTACAGGTCCTGGGATAGAGCCCCACATCCAGCTTCCTGCTCAGCGGGAGTCTGCTTCTCCCCCTCCTCTGGCTGCCGCTCCCCCTGCTTATATGGCTCTTTCTCTCAGATACTAAAATCTTTAAAAAAAAAAAAAAAGAAAGAAATATGATTTCACTTTTGGACTTATAAAGATTATATTTTTGACACAAAAGGAAGCCACTGACCAATCCTTTCTCCAGAACTGCTAATACCCCATATACCCCATCCAAAGGGATTGGCTTGCTACATGTTCCTGTCTTGCTGGCCATACATCTTTGGTATAAACACCTGTTCCAAACCAGGCCAACTAGATTGTCTCTGGAGAAAAATGGAAATCGGTCTCTGTATGTGTCTAGATATCTAAGATGGAACTCGAGACAACTATCATTTTCTCTAAGGACCAAGCAGGAGACAGAGCTGGTTTGCAGAGAGGTAAAAAGTAAGCAGATGTTGGGGAATCCCTGGGTGGCTCAGTGGTTTGGTGCCTGTCCTTGGCCCAGGGTGTGATCCTGGAGTCCTGGGATCGAGTCCCACATCGGGCTCCCTGCATGGAGCCTGCTTCTCCCTCTGTGTCTCTGCCTCTCTCTCTCTCTGTGTCTCTCATGAATAAATAAATAAAATCTTTAAAAAAAAAAAAGTAAGCAGATGTTAAAAGGAAGTAAATACCAGAGAGACAGCGACCCACACTGACTGTGCTTCTTTACAGCTTTCCCTTTCCTGGTTCCAATCCCTTTATGACACCATCTGCATTCCTGCCTGTGGATTGTGTAAAAATACCTCTGTATCTTTATGATAAGTGGATTTGTCTTTTTATATCACCCTAACTGGAGTTTGTTTCAAAGAATCCTAACCAACACAGATGTGTTGAGTTTGAAATGTGTATCCAACACCTAAGGGGAGAGGTTGTTGGAAATGTGGGTCTGAAGACAGAGCAGAGGTTGAGGGCGGACACATGGTGTGGGTAAAGGAGTAACTGAAGTCACGAGTTGATGAGGTCACCAGAAGCAGCTCAAAGTAATAGAAAAAAAAGGAGAGGAAGAAAGGAAAAATGGGTCTCTTAGGAACGTTAATATTTAAGAAACAGATGAAAGAAAAAGGAAATAAAGTATCCAGGTATCCTTGCAGACAATCCATCAAGGGCTTTAACAGGGATTGATTTATTTGTCTCAAACAACAAGATGTTCAGTTGGTACAACAGATCCATGATTCCATGAAGGACTCAAGCTCTTCTCTGTTTCCTACCACTGACTTTAGCATCTAGCCCTCATCTCTATGGTCGCAAGATGGTTGTTAAACCTTTCAGGTAGGAAGGAAAAGCAAAAGAGGAAGAGTGAAGGGCAGTATGGCTGCTGGACCCTTATCAGAAAAGCAAAAGCTTTACCAAAGGCCCTACTTTAAGTCTCATTGGTCAGAACTCTGACACTGGCCATCCCTACTTAGAGAAGGACTCTGGATAGGAGCTGAGACACCCAATCAGCTTTTAACAACAGATTATAATCAACCAGAACTACCAGGAGGTGAAGAATGAAAGCTACAGATAGATGTTGGGGCAGCCCCATAGGGGATGTGATAAAAGTCCCTGACAACCTACCAAAAGCAGTTCCAGAGGGACACCTGGTGGCTCAGTCAGTGGAGTGTGGGACTCTTGAGCTCCAGATTGTCAGTTCAAGTCTCACCTTGGATTTATAGTTTACTTAAAAATAAGATTTTTTTTTATAAATTATTCTTTTTTTTAAGATTTTATTTATTTATTCATGATAGTCACACAGAGAGAGACAGAGAGGCAGAGACACAGGCAGAGGGAGAAGCAGGCTCCATGCAGAGAGCCCGACGTGGGATTCGACCCCGGGTCTCCAGGATCGCGCCCCGGGCCAAAGGCAGGCACCAAACCACTGCGCCACCCAGGGATCCCAAAAATAAGATATTTTTAAAGCAATTTCATTAAGTATGGAGAAGGCTGCTGTTGAAGACTAACTGGTGGATGGAAAATGAGTACAGACGGTTCTTTCCTAAAGTCTGAAAAGGAAAATAATGGTGGGAGTGAAAATCTAAAGAAGCATAAGGTAAAGTTCTGTCTGACTTTAGGATCTGTGACTACATGAGCATGTTTATAGGCTGAGAAGCCCAAGCGATTAGAGCTATACATAGTGTGATAAAAAGATCAACTATTGGGGAAAAAAAGGCAAAATCCCTTGGGTGATGGGGATTAAATGTGATATTGAAAGTGATACCTTTGTCTCCAAAACAAGAGAGGAAGATAAGGATGAACGACAACTGTGCAGGTTCGGTTATGGGTATGAAAAACAAAAAGTGGAGTTGTCGAAAACTCTTATTTTGGCAAAAATACACTTTAAAACTGTTTTTAAGTTTCAAAAGCTAGACCATAAATTCACCATTCCCCGATTTGAAGAAAGGCATGAAGCAACAGCAAGGTCGCATCAAAACTCAGGTGTGCTTATCTATATTTGGATCCCGGATCTGACTTGGCGAGGTAGAGACCCCTCCGGCGTGAGCATCTCCACATTTCACTACCCCCCGCCCCGCCTCCCCGGGGCTGGGAGACCCGGAGAGGATGCAGCAGCCCCGGGCATTCTTCTCACTATTCCGCGGCACGAGGAGTGAGGACGGTGCCGGTGGAGCAGGAGCCATGGCAGAGCGCTTGCTAGAAGCATCCAGAACTTGCTCTGCAAATTTATTTCTATTCTGTTCTTCGCTCCTTCACCTTGAGCGCGGCGGAGGTGGCGCCGAGCGAAGCGAGACAGCAGCGCGCCGTCAGTGGGCCCCGGCAGCGGCCCGGGACCGCGGCCGTGCGCCTGGGGCCGCTCTGCTCCACCGAAGGAAACGCAGCCGACGGGGCCCCGGCATGGCCTCCGCGACTTGCACGCGCCCCGCCACTCTGGCCAGCCCGCCCCACGCCCGTAGGAAGCCGACTCTCACTTTTCATTGGCTGAGCCTCGCGGAGGGGATCCCTTCCTTCATTGTCATTGGCTGCCGCCGCTGTCACGTCCTCTCGCCACACCCACCTTCCCGGCGGCGCCCAGGGAGCGTCGGGGGAGAGAGTTCCCGGGGGCGGGGCCGGGAGTCGCGCGCAGCCAGCCCGGGTCCCCTCCCTCCCCCTGTCCCTCCGCCCCGCCCCGCGCCGCGGCCCCCGCCCCGCCCCCTGGCCCCAGGCCCCGCCCCCACCCCGCCGGGGCCCGCCCCTCCCTCCAGAGAGGGCGGGGACCAGGCGGCGGCCGCAGTCGCCGGAAGATGCTGGAAGCCGGCAGGCGGACGGCCGGGCGGTGCTGAAGGGACAGTTCCCGCCGCCAAACTTGCGGGGCGGCGGGAGGGCGGCTGCGGCTGCCCCGAGCCCGCGGGGGGCGGGAGCCATGGAGACCATCTGGATCTACCAGTTCCGCCTCATCGTGATCGGGGACTCCACGGTGGGCAAGTCGTGCCTCCTGCACCGCTTCACCCAGGGCCGTTTCCCCGGGCTGCGCTCCCCCGCCTGCGACCCCACGGTCGGCGTGGACTTCTTCTCGCGCCTGCTGGAGATCGAGCCGGGCAAGAGGATCAAGCTGCAGCTGTGGGACACCGCGGGGCAGGAGCGCTTCAGGTAGGGCCGCCGGGACCCCGGGGGACCGCCCCGCCCGGCTCGCAGGCGGCTCCGGCCCTGCCCTCTCCAAAGTGCAAACACTCCGCCACCCTCGCTTCCCCTTCGCCCCTCCTCTTCCAGGGACGACTTCCTCCTCCGCAATTTCTCACTTCTTTCTTTGGCGCCCATTTCCTGCGCCTTGCCTTTCCCGCCTCAACAGGGCCCCCCCACTCAGGACACCCCCACTGCGGGACCCCCCCCGGACAGGACCCTCCCTCACTGCGAGACACCCCCCACTGCACGACCCCCCGACTGCGGGACCCCCCCACTCTGGGACACCCCCCACTGCAGGCCCCCCCCACTCCAGGACGCCTCCCTCTTGCCCGGCTCTGCATGCCCCTGGCTCTGTCTGCCGGTGCTGTGATCCCCAACTCTTCAGCACCCCTCCCCCTGCTGCCTGCTCCCCAAACTCGGCGCCCCTCGCCGCGCACACCCCGCCCCGCCCGCCCCTCTGGGCTCCCCTCCCGCGCCTCTGCTCCATGCGGCCCGGGAGAACTGCAAAGTGGGGTTCCAGCGAGCCGGAGCTCCAGCCCAGCCTGCTGCATGAGCTCATTGGGCCCCGTTCGGAGAGGGAGGAGGATGCGGTAATGGTTGGAACACCTCGCCCCACCGAATGTGGTCATCAGAAACGCTGGGCCATGTGACCCGTGGGAATGTGTCTTAGGGAGCAGCTGGATGGATTATCGGGGGCACAGGCACAGCACGAGGGCGGGGGGGTTCCTTGTTTGTGTAGTAAGGGCTGAGTTGTCTTTAGAAGTTTGTCATCATTGGTGGTTTGGTGGAGAAGAGAGAGACACTGAGATTTTGTCACGAACTTTTTCTTTATGCTATCTGTAATGGGTGCTTAACGTTCCAGGGTGAGCATGCATCAGAAAATGCGATTTGAATAGAGAAGGAGGGATCCAAATGAAGAGTCTCCTTCTAAATATGTTCATTCAGACCCCGAAGGAAGGATTTTGCAAAGGACCCATGTTACATAAATAAAAACTAAATGCAATTTGTATGCATTTCCTGGGTGTTTGAGACTGAACCGCATAATAAAGCATATTTCAAATTCCTAGGATTTGGGAACACTTTTTTTTTTTTTTTAGAGGAAGGTAGGAAATCTGATATACCATGATGTTTTGGGTTGTTTGTTTTGTTTGTTCTTAAGACTGCATTGTCACTTGAAACTCACTTAAGCAAGCATTTCGCAATCTTCAGCAAGTACTGTTTGTGAAATGCAGTAGTCCATGAGGGGCCTTCCCAAACATGGCTTCCCCTCACCAGCCCTAGCCAGCGTCCCTTCCAATGAGATCAGCCTACTCCTGTGAGGATGTTCCAACTTTTAAAGTTCTGGCTTTCATTCCCAGCTGCACACGGATTCAGACAGATGATAAGAGAACTGCTTAGCTTGCTTATACCTTCATTTACTCCTATATATGAAGAGGAAAGATGGTAAGGCCAGCCCTTCTGAGAGATGTTAAAGGCTACTCTTAAAGCTTTGAATTTTACAATACCTAGAATTCCTTGAAGAATTTTGTTTTTCCTTTTCAAGAATCCTCTTTTAGTTAAAATGGAATTTCACATTTGTGATTCTCATCTGTAAAATGGGGTCATAAGGGTCTCTTAAGATTCCTTCTAGTTTTACCATTGCAAGATTGATTGTAAATTCCTTCACTTGTCATCTCAATCAAATGAAACAAGATACTTTGTGGCCCAGGGATGCCTGGGTGGCTCAGCAGTTAAGTGTCTGCCTTCGGCTCAGGCCGTGATCCTGGAGTCCCAGGATCCAGTCCACATTGGGCTGCTTGGAGCCTGCTTCTCCCTCTGCCTGTGTCTCTGCCTCTCTCTCTCTCTCTCTCTCTCTCTCTGTGTGTGTCTCTCTTGAATAAATAAATAAAATCTTAAAAAAAAAAAAGCATTTGCAATAGGTCTTATTCTACCTTTTAAAATGAATATAATAAAAACGTATTCTTCATGCCTTAAACTTCTAAAAACTAGTGGGTTGCAACTACAAGATACATAAGTAGCAAAATCTTACTGTATTATTTCCTAAAAAGTAGACCCTCAACCTATTGACAAGAAGGTAAAGGATAATTCATTTGTTAGACTTTAAAGTCCTTCCTGCTAAATAGATCATTGTTTTTTAATGCCTTTGAGCACATGTAAATAGTAATTTGCTTTATATACATTATTAAAACCAAACAATACCTCTCCCATAATAATACAAGGACATTTAGGGAATGTTTACTGACAATGAGTCATGTTTTATTTTGTCTGGCTCTTTACCAAAGATATATTCATAAATACATACATATTTCAGTAACTACGTCCAAATACTTGGTTTTCTGTTTAGCAGAATGTTTCACCATAAAATTACATTTGAAACAATCCTTGTTAAGCCATTCTGTATCTTTAGCAAAAAAAAAATTGATACTTCTGTGAGTAGTAGATTTCCTTACACATTTTATTTCTTAGAAAGATACTCTAGTTCATAAAGATATTAGTCATATATCATTAAGAATTCATGGGAAATTTTATATTTGAAGGCTTATTGTTGATTAGATATAAATTAGCAAAAAGGAATCTGCTTTAGACAACTAGGCTATAGCTTGAAAGCATTAAAAAAAATAATGAGCGGATAATTATGACCATACTTAGCCTTAGTTTTCTTCCCCCTCCACTTGAGATATGACAAATAAAGCTTTAATTTTCAATGTTCAAATTAACACAGCTAGAAGACAAGAATTACTTCCAAAAAGTAAGAGGAACCAAATCAAAATGATAAAGGTTTGCAAAAATAATGTATACATGAGCACATAAATTTTAATGTTTTTATTATGTGTGTTAATGAGGGTAAATGTCAAATTACTGTATTAAAGAGAGTCAAAATTACAGTGCCTTCATTAAAGATAAAATTTATTTCTCTGTGTCTAAGAGTCTCAAGGTAATTGGTCTGTGTTGGTGGAGGGACTGTGCTCTGAGCCATCATTCAGATACTTTTCTTTTTAATTTTCTGCCAACCCTAAAATATCATCATCTTCGTGAACACTGTGTTCCTGCACCTCGGAAGGAAAAAGAAAAGCTCTAAATCAAGCAACGTTCCCTCTTTTTTTTAAAGTAGGCTCCATACCTAATATGGGTCTTGTACTTACAACCCCAAGACCAAGAGTCGCACATTCCACCAACTGCTCCAGACAGCCAGACAGCCAGTCACTCCAAGCAATATTCTTTATAAGCAAGTGAGACCACTATGGTACAGATCACTTCAGCTCTAAGTACACTGAGAAGAGATTAGTTACAAGACCCCAGTTTGACTGGGCTACCATGTGCCCACAAAGAAGGAAAGGTGGATCTGGCATTGTGGGCTTTGCAGGGAAACTAGCAATCACCACTTTTAAATTTTAATCATCACAGTGGACAAAGTTTAGCAGGAAAGGAAGCAAGAATATCATATGACACAGCATCAATAAGGATAAATATTAGAAGGTGCTAGAAATATGGAGAGCATCAAATATAAGAATATAAATTTTGAACTTCCTGTAGAAAGCACTTATAGCAAGCAACATGAAGATAAAATGAGATAAAGAAGTGGCAATGTTGGCTGTAAGGATAGAAAACTTCAAGGCTTCAAACCAGATTTTGCCTTTTATTTCTTGTTGTCTGATCTCTGATATGTTATAGATACAGCCAGTGATTATAAAGCTCAGACATAAAGAGAATAGTATCCTCCTGGTGCAGTGCTTCTCAAACTGTGTCCTGCAGAACAGTTAGCCCTTGGGATTCTTTTTAAAAATGAATTCTGTGACCAGGTAAATTTGGGAATCCCTGTATTCCGTGTAACACTCCCTTAGAAATTGATATCAAAAGCTCTCAGAACTCTTGCAGCAAGGAAGCCTGTTTAACTTTGATTAAACCATCATGTCTCAAGTTTATTTGACAGGCTATTTTTAAAATGTAAAAATCTATGATAACTCATGTTCAGAGGAGTCTAGCCTGAGAGAAGCTCTGGTGATGAGTTGCTGGAGTCCCATCCTTTGAGCAGAATCCCTGACCTGTTGAGGTATAGAGCAATGGAAGACCTTCTGAGGTTCCTCAGCCAGCTAATTAACTTGGCAAAGGGCTGTGACTCATATGTGCTATCTAAGGGACAGCCCTGCCCTTCACTGGCCCCCCAAAATCTGAGGGTGGCCTCGAACTAACACAGTGAATATTCAGGGGCTCTCCCTAGCCTTCAGTCTGCCGTGTTATCTCCTTTGACTCCTCTTCTGCTGAGTATCTTTCTCCTCCTTTTGTGTCCTGCCTCTCTTTCAGCTGCTGGTTTTTATTTTTCTATTACCCCACTCCTCTGTCTTTCCCTCTTCCCTTTCCTCCCACCCTCCATCTTTTTCTCTCCTCCCTTCTTAGTGCATCTCTTACTCTCTCATTTCGCTTCATCTATCCCCTGGCTGCCTTCTGTCCCTGTCTTCCCCTGCTCCTTCAAAACATTCATATGAACTTAATGTTGAAAAGTAGCTTAATTTATGTTCTCTGTTTTTGTTTGTTTGTTTGTTTGTTTGTTTGTTTGTTTTAAGAGCAAACAACATGAAAGTTTTATATTTCTCCTTAAGAGAACTTTTTTTGGGGGATTACTGGATGAATCAGCGGTTGAATGTCTGCTTTCGGCTCAGGTCCTGATCCTGGAATGTGAGATGGAGTCCCACATCAGGCTACTTGTGGGGAGCCTACTTCTCCCTCTGCCTGTGTCTCTGCTTCTCTCTCTCTCTCTGTGTCTCTCATGAATAAATAAATAAAATCTTTAAAAGAGAGAGAACTTTTTAATTTATTGATTGGTTTTAAAGATTGGTTTATTTGAGAGAGATAAAGCATGCCCACAAGTGGGAAGAGGGGCAGAGGAAGAGAGAGAGCCCTCAGGCAGACTCCCCACTGAGAGAGGAGCCCAATACAGGGCTCGACCCCATGACCCAGGAGATCATGAC